GACAAGTTATTCGGAATTCTCGACACAGCAATTACAGGACTTGAACAATGGAACTTAATAACTGAACAAGAAATTATATGTCTATAGTATTAGTCTAAAGTATTAGCAGAGAAAACAAATCAAACAACTCACATTGAAAGAAATGTTTAATAAAGTAAACATATAAATATTAAGCTCTTTTCTTTTGTAAATTTTGATACCTTTAAATCATAAATGCTTCATTATTTCATAAATCACGATTTCATATTTTCAATTTTATAATTTCTACGTGCCATCTTAGTAGATTTAAAATGATCTAATATCCGGAAAAATCTCAAATCTGGGATCGCCGAAGTCCCGACGAGTCCAGACCTCGGACTTTGTACTGTATAAATATATATATATATATATATGAATGTATATTTTCAGTTAAACTTCTATCCAATAACTTTAGTAATTCATGAAAGTTAATTTTGCATCTAGTTAATTCAGGAAAATTAGTTTCAATTAGTTGTTTTCAGCTTTAAAAATATTTAAAAAATTTTTAATTAGTTATTTTCAACTAATAATTGTATCGCCATTAGCAAAAATTATGCATTACTATCAACAACATAGGTTTAAACCAAATACTTAATTGTCTATTGAAGCTTCAAAACGTATTTCCGAACTTCACTTTTCTCGGCTAGCATTACCGAATTTGCCCTTGGCGACCTAAAATCGAAATGGAGCCAACAGATTTCCCGCGAAATCGATAACAGACCCTCTGCAGAAATAAACTCATAATCCCGATATCCCATACATATAGTATGTGCAAAAGAGAATAAACTCCGTAGAAGGTGATAAAAAATTAATTTATGGCTTAATTGAAACAAACACAGAAATTAAGCTAAGCAAAACTGTGTAAAAACAAATTGAAATGATAAAACGAAACTTAACTTTCATGTGAATTTTCAGCACTGACTCTCCCATTCTAGAAATTTCAATTTGTTTCAAACAAAGACCACATTTAAGGATTGCCATCCATCAATATCCAGTCTTTGTAGTCAGCTTGATGAAGCCACAGTTTATTGAAAATGCACTTTCCAGGCATCTCGTTCCTATTGGCGTCGGAAGGGTTGTAGCCTTCCAGGTTGGGATTGCTCTAATTTTGGCAAATATTTTCAGAATCTCGCCCCCCTTTTTTTTTTCTCGAGCACCTTCATCATCACTTTCGCCTCTTAAAGAACTTCCGGCTTCACGCTTTCGTCACAGTCTGCCTAAATTTATGGATAACACCTGTTTCGAAAGATTGGGTGAATAGCCAATCAGACACCGATACTTTCGTTCGGGTAGCTAAATGTTTTTTTTAATCGTTTGCAACGCAAATCCGCCAACAGATTGGTTAAGAGCAGTGTAATTTTAATTCCATATTCATGAGAAATCGTAATTCACACTTAGATTGGCAATCATTAGAAATGATAAGAAATGTCAAATGAGCAAAATCAAGGACCATTTATTCATTTTGGCCAAAATTAAGGACTTTTAAGGACCAAAAATCATTTTTGAAAAAATTAAGGACTTTTAAGGGCCGTACGAACCCTGTACATAGCAAAGGAAATCATATTAAAAATGCCTGAAAGGGAATTTGGAAATGTATTTGATTTTGATTAAATTTAAGAGCATAAAATTATTTTTAAAATACTTTTGTTGATAAGCATGCAATTTGGTTTATATCAAATGTTTTGATGTATTTTTAAAAAATTCTTTCATTTTAAAAAAATTTCTCCATCTTCATGTCTTTCTCTCTATTTTATTTCCTTTCGTACATGCATTACTTTAGCTTTTATTACTTTAAAATTAGTTTCAGTAAAGGTTAGTGTTAGGTCAATAACGTTTAATTTTAGAGAAAAACAAAATTATGTAATACACCGGAAAATAATGACAATATGTAGATTTAAAAATAATAATAATAAAAAAGAAATCTAAAATGTTAAAAAAGACAAAAATAGTTGATATTCCCCAAACAAACTTTAATGCATATATAATAATAACATTTGAAAACATAATGGTTTTTATTATAGAACTCTTACTATACAAGTTTGTTTCACTTATTTATGCTACAGAAATGTAACACAAAAGTTAGAAAGGGGAAATATAAACAAAACTAAGACATGGTCTATAATCCCCAAAACTTCACTAATAAAAAAATCCTCAATCCCAAGATATGCAGAGTAACGGAATTTTACAATATCATTTATATGCTTTAAAATTTTAAGTTATTGTTCAGTTATTGACTATTGATCAATAAAGGATTAATTAGAAAAAATATACTTGCTTATAAATAAAAATGAAACTTCTAAGCAGAAAATGGCTGAATAATCATAACCCAAGTATATACACAAAGGCCAAAATTAAATAAAAAATCCCCCCCTTTTATTAAGTTGGAATGAACTTATAATTTTTTACTGGTTATTAAGAACTTACATAGTTTTAATCTATCATTCACCCCTATATTTGACTGCAGCAGTTTTACCATAATTAAGGCACCACTTAACAATATTAATTTATTTATGTTTTATATAATGTACACTGCAGGGGAAAAAAAAGGAGGTGGGACAGTTCTATATCTACCATTCTACTGGACCGATTGTCGAAATTTAACCTGCATTTTCGATGTCTCAAAAGTGCTAATTAGGAAATATACTAGATTTATATAAAGCATTATTCTAACATATGTATTCTGACACAAAATTGGACTTTTTCTGAAATAACATACCAATTTTTTCCAAATTTTGATTTTACGACTCAAATTATGCCTAGATATTAAATTTTGTAATTTTTGGTAAGAAATTTATGAAGAAATTTAAAAAATTATCTTGGCACATTTTTTTTCAGTTTGTGCCAAGAATAATTCACTTGAAGAACTTCTTAATTTATGGCAACCTATTTTCCTTTCCTTTTTTACATTGTGCATAAAGCAGAAAAAAGTCACATTCTTCCTATTTTCAAATAATTTTAACAAAGTATGTAAAATACATTTGATATTGTTTATCACTTTCAACAACCATGCCAAATTTCAAAATGGGCCAATAAATATTATAAGACATTTTAAATGTTAAACTTTTCTTCAAAAAAACTTAAATAAATAAAAAAAAAAAAAATATTGGCAATTTTTTTTTTTTTTCCCAGCTTAAAATCATTTTGTCTTACAAAACTATTTAATAATATTCATATAATGTAGATGATAGTTCTTAAATAAAAAAAAATTAACTTGAATGGTATTTTAAATTATCGTTCAGATTTAAACGGCAATTCGACCAGTTTTAATTTGAACAGTATTTCTGGAATACCCCAGCATCAGATTACCTTGTCTGTACTTGTTTAAAAATTTCCATATTTCATACGGTTCCATCTGATTTTTTTGGATGATATCGCATCCCCAGATATCTAGCAAACCGATTGTTTCGCTGACAGTCCAGCGAGCAGTCAATTGCATGTCAGCCATGTTGTTTGTTAAAAATTAAGTGCACCATGCAATCATGCAGTGCAGTACGGGAAATCTCCCCATTTGCCCTGCTCCAGAGAAGTAAGAACATTCTACCAAATTCTAAGAAACAGTAAATGCTTGTTCGCCATGTGAATAGCACACGTTGGAAGAACCGGTTTTTGCCACTGGTTGAATCTGTTCTTGTGAACGATGCTTAAAAGACAATCTCATTGCTAAAATTGGCTCTATGCCAGCTGCCTGAATGATGATCATGTAATAAATAATTCACCAAGAAAGGGATCGTTTCCAACATTGGCGCGAAAATCGCTTTTTGGGGCATCGCTGTATGAAATTCCCCAACTTTGACTAAAATATTTAAATCCCTTGACATTTTTGGTCAAATTTTGAATTCCTTGAGCTTCCCGGTTTTCCAGGAAGCATGGCAACCCTGTTTTTTGTCATGGGAGGAGCACGCTCTTTTATGCAACACACAGTCCACTGACATTAGACATTACTGCAGAGCACTATTTCTCATCACCCATCACAATTCATTTAAAATATGGTGAATTTCTGTAATCAGAAAGCAAAGAAAGATAGGAACTGGTTTTCATCTGCTATTGCTTTTTAGAGAGTTAATGACTCAGCTTTCTGAAGCCTGACCATTCATTTTTAAATTGTTGTACGTTATCAAAATAGCATTTCTGCTAAATCCTTAACAGTTGTATGAAATGCATTCGACATGGCTTTGTCATGAATCTGCTCTAACACCACCGACAGATGCAGAGCACAGTTCATCTTTTCTGTCTTGGTTACTGAATTTTTGAAAATAGTAATGACATGTGCTGTTGTAACAGGCATCTTCCTCATACACTAGACAAATGTTTTGGCATGCTAAGGCAGCAATACTGCCTCTAACAAACTTAAACATCAAACCCTGTCTGGCATGTTCCTCATCACTTAACATTTTAAATCTTTGAATTTTTATTATTTACAAGCATGCAGCTTTTATATCTGTCTGCTTATATGTTTTATTGGCTGAAAATTATAGTGATCATAGCATCACATATGACATCAAATCTATTGATAAACTGAGTCTCCAAAAACAAGATGAAATTTTGCTTCAGTTCAATACATTACAAAGTCATTTTTATTGATAAAACACATTAAAAAGAAACATATTTAGCTTAATTAGTTACATTTCATACATGTTTATACAGCTAGTTGTGTAAGCATTCCAAGACAGTGTCCAACCATAATGTCTTACAGAAGAGGAGTGGTGGGTTACCAGTTTTAATCCTTTTTCTTAAACAGACCTAGGATTAAACATTTATCGCTACTGGTGGTATCTATTGTTCAGCACCTTGCACTAATAATTTCATACATCTTATACAGAGTACACTAATGTTCTCATTCAATCAGGTTTTATTATTGCAACTTATGTAACATTTCAGCAAACATTTTAAATACATTTAATCACAGTAACAGTGTAGAATAAAATTTGTGATACCCAAAATAAAATTTATTTTTTTATCATTTATTGATTGGGATACTTTACCTTACAATTTACAACCCACTGAGGTGATTTAGCAGTGCCATTATTTTTTAAAATTTCGATCTTGTACTGTTGCACAAAAACCAAATACTTCAGAGCCTGGATCAGATTTGATTTGGATATATTTACGTAACTTAAAGATTCAGCTCCTATAATAATATCAAATTAGTAACTTGAAGAAATATAAGCCTTTTAAACATACAGTAACATTTTTAAACTAAAAATTCATTTAAACTAAATACTAATTACAAACATAACAGTATTAAAATCTTTCAAATACAAGTTTTCTTATTTAAAAAATAAAATGAAATATTCATAAACCTTCAGAAATATCACCATTAACGCATTAAATTTATAGTGAAATACAAACTAAAAAAAAGTTACAGATATTAATATTTTAACATAAAAATATTGGTGCAAAATCTGGTGAGATAACTTGATGGCAGACTTAGGGTTGCCAGAAAGTAGCAGGGAAAGACAGGGTTGCCAGTCTTTTGACAAAATTGGCAATATGTCGCAGACGGAGTGAGAATGTTCTAGAATACATTCTTAGCGGTTTTCTTCAGAAATATTCTCAAAGGTAGGTTAAGGCTATATATAACCTGCCTGTATGGGGGAAAGCAGTGTTTTGAGTTCAGAGATTAGATTCAAGGCAATCGACTGAGTCAGGAGCTATACTTTAGTGCTTTGCCATGAAGCTGTCTTCACCATTATTGCCTGAAGGCTGTGATGCTGATTGTTTAAGGATGTTTATCATAGTTTATCGATGACTGTGCATGTGTCTTTGCAAATCTCCTGTTCAATACCAGCAAATAAATTGTATTTTGATTCTTCAATAAGTATTATCATCAATTACTCCAAATCCACGGACCCGTAGAATGCAACAATATGCTACTTAGAATAAAACTAAAGCTTGCTTAAAAAATTTGAGAAAACTCATATGGTGCTTAATATAATGCTATACATGTCATTTTAATGATGCAGAAATATATTCTTAAATATAGCAGAAAATAAGTTATATTTATCATAAAAGTATAAGGTTATCACAAGTGATTCAACAGGCTCTAAAATTCTGTATTTCCAAGTTATACACTGTACATTATCTTGATCTTCTTGCAGGGGGAAAAATCTTAAATTTTAAGATTAGCACATGAAGACCTTATGGCACATCACGTAACATATATTTTTAAAATAGGGAGTTTATAACAAAAAGCATTTAATGTTTTAGAATATATTAAATGTATATCCACTGTTCTTGTACAAAGTGCACTAATGTTTTTGAATATGTTAAGTGTTTATCCTCTGTTCTTGTACAAATAACACATAAAGCAGAACAGTACCAAACCAACAGAACATGCAAGGCATTATGGTTAATAACAGGCATACTTTCTGGTCTATCTGAAATACTGGACATAAGGCTTGTTTTTTAAGCTGACTATGGCAAAACACATGAAGACTCTCTCCCCAAGGAAAGGATGCTTTCAAAGAGGACTTTTAAGGAAAACTGGCAAGAAACATTGTGAAAATACCCGAGCAGTAACCCATTCAGTAGGATTCAAACCTGGTTGAACTACCCGTATTTAGCACTTATAGCCATTCAGCCCCTGGTAAGCCCTTGTCCATGAGTCTATCTACAGTCTGGGCATAGTATTGAGAATAACAACAGTAACTTGTAAATCTATTATTGGTATTATCATTAAGATATTAATAGTATTACAGGATTTTTTTTTATATTAATAGTATTACAGGTTAGCCACATTTTAGTTAAAAAAATGAGCACCTATAAGCACTTTTCAAGCACATTTTAAGAAAAAAAATAAGCACCTGTCTAATTACATCATACACAACAGCATAATCCTTAAAAATTAGAATTGTAATTTAAAATATGAGAAATGAAGTACTTATTAAGAGAGAAAAAGCATTATCTCAACCATGGAAAATAATTACTTTTTTTTTAAATTTTAAATAATAGTTCAATTTACAGAACTAGTTTACAATGAGAGAAAAAAAAAACTATGAAGAACTAAACTATATACAAGATTTAATAATGAAATTTCAGTTCAAAATAGAGAAAATAAATATAATAAGGCATATTTATTGTATTCGTTTGGAACCTAATAATAAATACAATTTATTTTTCCACTCATATTGATATTTAAATAATTTAAATCTAAATTCTGAACATTTTCTAAATTTTCCATTGTATATCAGTTTTCTCTTAACAAAAATTGCAAGCAAAGTAATTTAAGTAAAAAAGAGGAACATTTCTGAAATCAGAAGACAGAAATTTGCTTCATGCAGCCATTTTTAACAGTAAAAGCTTAACTAACCCGCATTCTTGGAATTGGTGAATATTCGGACAGTCGAGCGTAACTTGAAGGAGTGGAGGGGGGGTAGACTGTAGCCTCTCTTTAGACTTTTCCGCTAATAAATGCTTTTGACATTTCAATATGTGCATCATATAAAAATAAACCAACGGAACTAAAAAATATTCTGCTTAGCAAGCACAGTAAAACTCTTTCAGTTAGTAAGTAGTGTTCATAAACAAATCTCGGACTGAACATCAAAATTAATTATCTCTGCAAAATATCGCAAACGTTATTGCACAATATGTGCGCCGTAATTCTTCCCTACGTGATATTACGCAATCGGAATCAACAACTGCAGGTATTAGAAGAATAAAGAACTAAATAACTGGGGTATTTTTCATTCTAATTTTCAACAGATGGCGTTAAATTTCCGGAATAGAATCATTCTTCGCTTGGGTTGGTAGACCGCAGAACTTTTAGTCCTATTCAATCCAGATTGGAAAGTAACCAAAAAAAAAAAAGTCCGTTGCTTGTTTTGCAGCGAACTGTAACAGTTTCAATATTCAAGATTTTGCGGAGAAAGGGGAGACCTCCCAACCTTCGTACTGTATAATATATTGGCCCAAAAAATGAAATTATTTTGACTATTCGATTACTTTCCCTTTATTTAAGCCATTCCGAATATTATTCCTTAGAAAGCTAATCTGTGTTAAAACGCAACCATTTTTGGAAGTTTACTATACTTCAGCAGTTACTGCAACTATGTTATTATAAACATTCATACATATACTCATAATATAAGCATAACGATCATAATAAACACGAATATGAACTGACCAAGCAGAACGAGAATGCAAATTTTTAAGATCTTGATAGAAATTCAAACGTGTGTAGTATTTGGGTGGGAGGAAAAGAATGCCGAATGTAGCGGAATTTTCTACTGCTTTCGCAATTCTTTGACCAATAGAACGACGGGCACCTGTCTGTACTCTTCGTGCACACCAAAGGTTATTTTAATGCAGAGAAAGGGGGAAAAGCTATTTTCGGGTGTATGACTCACCATCTGACATTCCATATTAGGAAGAAAAGTTGTTTATTTAGTTTCGGCTTTGGTACGGGGAAAAATAACGTGTTCATTAAAAAAAAAGCACTAAAAGCAAAAATAAGCACTAAAAACAAAAAAATAAGGACTTTAAAGAAAAAGTAAGCACCTATAAGGGCCTTTATATTTTATTTTCAAATATAAGGACTTATAAGCACTTATAAGGACCGCTACGAACCCTGTATTAGTAGTTAAAATCATATTGCCTTTCATATGATATGGACTTGCTTGTAAGATTATCCTTCTTACTTATAATCTTAGCTACTTCATAAGAAAGAAACAGTCTATAAGTTAGTGTCACTTCTTTCAATTTGATATACTAGTAATAATTAATTATGTGGTCTACATAAAAAGTCACAACGCAAAAGTTAAAAAGCTAAGTAATGAATTACTTCAGCATCTTTTTTAAATATTGGGCTGAATATACAAAGATGATATTAACTTCAAAAGGAAACTTCTACTTCGGCAAATACAGCATACAAAACATACATTATTTACATCCTAAATTTAATCTAATGTTAAGAAAATAGCAACAAACCTGTCCCCATTTTTTTTAGCTTGGAAGCTTTCAAAACCTCTTTGTTCACCAATTTAGCATCATCTTCATAAAATGAATAAGTATCCTATCAAAGAAGAAGAAACACAAAATCATTAAATCAAATTATTAACTGCTTCCCTTACAATTTTTTTTGAAAAAAATTGCAAAAAATCATCCCGTTTTTTTATTTTATTATTAAATACAACAAAACGAAACAAATCAAAATATGTACGTTTTAAGTTGAATTTTTAATTTTTTGAAGGTGTAAAAGCATTTATTTTTAATATTAGTTTACTATCCCGAGTTATCTCAAGCAAACAAAAAAAGTTAAATATTAATCTTTGTATGATAGTTTTTGAAACAAGGGACAACACAGAGTGATACCTGACGTTCTACACTGGTATGTGGTCTCTTTTCTTACTGGCTTACCGCTGGAATCTCTTTCACGGGAGCACAGAGTACATTGTCTCGTTGGATTTGATTTTTTTGGGGGGGGGTTCCCCAACTTTTTCATAATCACTATCTGAAAAATCATCGCTTTTGCTATCTTCCATCATCGCCATTATTTTATTTTTTACAACACATGCATCCTTCTTTATATTTTACTAATCCACAAGCCAACGTATACTATACAATAGGGAAAGACGCGACCAGTCCCTACAAAAGAACCGCGCAACCAACAAAATTTGGCAAACTGCCAATCAAAGCTAAATATTTCATTTTGTGATGTATATTTAAAATTACTTTAACTTTAATGGCGCTCATGCTATGCGATTCCGTTGTTGTGATGCACGTGTTACTGTGCTAGCTGAATGTCATGTGAACTGTTTAAAAATGTAATAATAAAAGATTTGAATTCTTGAGATATACTCATTAATTGAGTCTTTTAAAGTACAGAAGTAATTAAATTTAACAAACTACACAAGAAGTTACATGGTGTCAGGAGGAAAATGGATTTCAGACCACCTGCTCCGCTAACATTCTCCGTCGGAAATGTTAAAGAAAAATGGAAAAAACGGAAGCAAGAGCTAGAAAACTATTTACTTGCAACGGAAAAAGATGCCAAGCCAGATAAGACTAAAATTGCAATTCTTTTGAATTTACTCGGTAGTGAAGGACTCGAAATTTTTAACATGTTTTGATTTGAGCCACCTGAGAATAAAGAGAAATATAAAGAGGTCTTGAAGTCTTTTGAAGATTATTGTTCACCAAGGCAGAATGTCGTATATGAATGTTACAAATTCTTTTCGTGTAGCCAGCAAGAAGGACAAACAATTGAATGTTATGTCACTCAGTTAAAGAATTTAGCGTCAAATTGTGAGTTTGCTGAACAAGAAAATGGATTGATTCGCGACTGTATTGTATTAGGCATTCGGGATAGGAGTCTGACCGAACGTTTGCTTCGAGAATCTAACCTAGGATTAGAAAAAGCTATAGAAATAGTCCGTGCCGCTGAAACAAGCAAAGAGCAACTCCGGAACATGAAAGATGATCCAGCGACTGTGAACAGCGTGAAGAAATATAGAAAACAGCAGCATCAATTCAAAACAGTCAGTGCCACCGAAATTGTCGTCGCAGCAGAAGCAATCAGCACTAGAATATGACTGCAAGAAGTGCGGAAGAAGAAGGCAAAAAATATCGGGACTGTCCAGCTTTTGGAAAGACGTGTGCGAAATGCAAAGTAAAGAACCATTTTGCCGCGAGGTGTCCCAAGAACATTTATGAAGTTGGAATACCAAATAATGAACTTAGTATATATAATGAACATAGTGTATTTGTTGACTTTGTAATGATAGATCCACCAGTAAACGGGCATAGTGAATTTAAAATAAGTGCAAAATCAATCAAAGATCTAACAAATTCTATTGATGAAGTAAATAAGGATATTCACAAGGTAAGTGAAACATGAGTGAAAAGTATTACAATGTATGTAAATAATAAGTATTTCCAAGGTTGATTTTAAGTTAGATACTGGTGCAGAAGTAAATATTTTGCCTTTGTATGTTTTAAATAATGTTAAACTTAAGCCTAAACTTAATGAAACTGATTTGTTCTTAACTGCATATGGTAATTTTAAGTTAAAACCATTTGCGACAATAATCCCTGTAATAGCTACTAAGAAATTTGCTGAAGATTGGGATTTCGAACTTAAATTTAGTAGCCCCAGATATCCTCAAAGTAATGGGTTGGCTGAAAAAGCTGTAGGAATAGTGAAAAATATCATGAAAATAGTGCAAGATATAAGTGTAGGCTTAATGGAATATCGAAATACCCCAATTAGTGGAATAAATTTTGTCTCCTGCACAACGTGTTACTTAATAGAAGATTAAGGACAAAATTACCTATCAGTAATAAATTGTTAAATACTAAGATAAACAAACCTTATTCTAAATTTCGTGCACTTCAAGCTAGGCAAAAAATATTATGATAGAACCGCACAGAAACTGCCTGAGTTAAAACCTGGAGATAGTATAACCTTGTTCAACTTTAGAACTGGGCAATGGGATAAAGGTGAAATAATTTCAAAACATAAGCTCCTAGATCCTATATTGTAAGAAATTCAAATGGGGAAATATTGCGAAGAAGAAGAAACAGACGCCATATAAAATTTTCAAAATCACCTTCCAAAGTTAATAATGATTATGATGATATAGTATTAGATAAAGAGGAAAATTTAAATGGAAGCCCTAAGAATGTTTCTGTGCCTGTTAATATAGGAAATCAACAGAATAATCTATCCAATAATACAATAACAAGAAGTGGACGGTTGATTAGACAACCTTCAAGATATAGAGACTTTGTCATGGAATAAAATAATGTAACATATTGCATATATCATTTTTATGTAACTTTTTGTTATTGTATGTCATGTTGTGAATGTATTTGTACTTGTATTGATATTATTTGTGTCGTTTTTATTATTGCTTATAAACTGGAGGAAGGGATGTGATGTATATTTAAAATGACTGTAACGACGTTAATGGCACTCATGCCATGCGATTCCGTTGTTGTGATGCACAAAATGGTTACTGTGCTAGCTGAATGTCATGTGAACTGTATTTTTTAAAAAATGTAAATTAATAAAAGTTTTGAATTCTTGAGATATACTCATTAGTTGAGTCTTCTTTTAAAGTACAGAAGTAATTAAATTCAACAAACTACACAAGAAGTTACACCTTTCATTTCCTCCAGACCGAGTAAAACCGTGATAAAAGAAATCGTACTAACCAATTCTGCTTCGCACGAGTTTTCTCGGGATAATAATTAACTGCAGTATATACGAACCCGAGATACGAACTCGGGATAATCAGGCAAGCGGTTAACAGAATTTCAATCAGTCAAAAAAAATTCTTCAACCAAAAAACATTATATTACAACAATCAACTATCTATAAATGAATACACATTACACAACTAAATTTTTATTCTTTTTTTATCAGTTTTTTAAGCTAAAATAATTGATTTCCAACTGAAAATTTTAGTGTTTAAATCATCTTGTCTCTTTAAAGCATTAGACATGTAACGTAAATTTATACTTTACAAAAGAAAAGCAAAATTTCTGATTAAATTTTGAACTAGGCATCTGGGGGAAAAATACAATTTTAGGTACTTTTCCGTTTTGCCAGCGCAGGCGATAAAGTCTCCAATAATGGTACAACTGATGCCAAACGGAATATCCTTGCTGGTAACCTTTTATGCCTCATTTTCAAAACAAGTCACAGCCATATCAAATTGATTGTTTCTTTCAATACTGGCATACAATTACATAGAATTTCTACCAGATAGTTCAATTTTATGCCATAAAACCATTCGAAATAATTAAGTCACTTAGGATGCAATTACATCGCTCACACGAGGGCGAAAATATAGAAAAGGCAAAGTCAATGTTTAAATTCATCAATTCTAATTAGAATGCATTCTAATTCTTCTCATTAGATCAATTCTAATGAGTGAAGAAAAGCACTGCGATTTTACATAACCTCAGACTGAGTAAGCTGATTGTACGAACTGAAACAATTCTTGCATTAAACTTGTATACAAAATTAAAATTTAATTTGAAATTAATGTAGATGATGACCGAAAGAATTAAATTTTTGTCGTGTGTAGTAATCATGAGATGAGATCACTTGGGGTCACGTGATATGAACCCGCAAATCAGGATGTTGAACCATGAAAATATAGTAAATTCTTAAATTAATTTATTTTTACAAATTTATTGTTTTTACTTATTGGCTTTTTACAAAATTTTAAACGATATTAAAATGTTTATGCCTTCAAAATAAAAAATTCTTAGAGTTAACATTTGTTAACGTTTTTTTATGTGTATACTTGTATGTTGTTGCCAATAAAATCTGCTTGGCAACATTTGCACAGGCGAAATGGAAAAGTACCCAATTTTAATAACTTCACTTAATTAATTTAAAATAATTACATTTTATTTTCAATATTATTTATATTAGAAATAAGCACAACAAAGGTTTTGAAAAAAATCATATTATATATACACCCTTTGCTTAGAAAGATAAAGCACAATAAAGAAAGTGACTGTTTTATTTTGTGACTGTGTTTTAAGTATTTAATTTAAGATTAAGGAATTAATTAATTTTTATAAGGCGCTATAACAATCTAATACCTATTTATGTTTTTCTACAGCCATAATTATAGAAAGACTTAAGGAAAAGAAATTTAAGATCCACAGTTTTCATATACAGACATTTCAATTACTTATGAAACTGTAGTAAAATTACTTCTTGAACTTTCACATGATGGTTTACCAAACATGTAACTAGTCTGCTTGCAACAAGTTACTTTAGTCACATTAAAAATAAATTTTGTTGCATAGCATCTGCCTTTAATAATCTGGTATTCTTCTACTATCAGAACTAAATTCAGAAACTGTATGTGTATGTATGGATGGATGAATGTGTTCATGTACGTACATATGAATGTATGTGCACATACAAAAATACATTTCTGAATCTAGTCTCAAAAAGAGAAGAATACCAAAAATCTTCTGCCCATGAATGGCTAGTAGCTTAAATATTTTACCTTGAAATGTTTAGAGCAAATACTAGTAATGTGGATT